TTGGAAGGCCTTCGTACACAACCTTTTGAGTAAATTCTTCTCCATCAGGGAGAGAAACCACAAAGGACGTAGGGAGCTCCTTAGACATGTCAACCCGAATCAACATTCTACAATAGCTCAACCTTCCCTTATTTTTCGTTCCTCCGTCGGTGCGTATGGGGGTTCCCACTCTAGACCCCAAGCACTCGAAGGCAACAGGATTCCACAATTGCAAAGGCACATCAACATATTTAACCCACACATCGACCGTCATAAATGCATCAAAATCAAAGCGAAACCCTTCCGGAAGAATGCGCAGTAAAAGGGTCTTACCATAGAGGACGTACGGCCCATTATGGAGAACTTTTCTACGGTCTTCATCACTCAAAAACTGGAAGATCACCCAGCCTTTTTCGTGAGGATGGAGCTTGCACTCTAAATGCCATGAGGAGATCAACCCCTCTATGGCTTTGATGCCCGGAAACCGGCCTGTGAAACAGCCCACAAGGCAGAACCCCCACTCCTCTTCAAGATTTGAAACCCCTTCTGCCGGTATTCTGACCACATCCCCCACCTCAACTTTCTTCAAATGGAAGCCTTCAGAAGGGTCTCGGTTTTGCCCACTGGACCTAGGCAATTCCTTTGATGGAGGTTCAGGTAGAATAGGGTAGATAGAGGGTGAGTCTCTAGGTTTGTCCAAGTCATCATTAATTTCACCCAATTTTCCTCAATTTTACCAAATTCTATTCAAATGGAACATAAGACTATTTGAATTTATCTTTTATCCTTTCATTTATATACATATAAGTATATTAGTAGATGTGAGAAAATTTTTATATTTCAAAACTAAATTTTAAAATCAATTTAATTATATTAAATTTATATCATAATTAAATATATATGTTTTCATCATTTGTAGTCCAACTTTGTAAAATATGACTAAAAAGTCAAAAGGGAAAAATTAGAAAATAATATATATCCAAAATATATTTGATCCGAAACCGAAATATATCCGAACCGAACTAGACCCGAAACCGTAATATATCCGACTCAAATTGTATCCGAACTGAAATCTATCCGAACCGATTTATAACCGAACCGTATCTGAACCGACTCGAAACCGAACCGAACCGAAAAATGTATAGAACCGAAATCAAATCCGAACCGAAATTTAACCGATCCGAACCGAACCGAACCGATTATAACATATAACCGAAAGATATCCGAACCGAAAAAATCCAACCCGAAACCGATCCGGTTGATCCGATTGCCACCTCTACATGATATAATGCCATATAACCGGGCCTGCCTTCTGAACCATCTCCTATCTAGTTGTTTAGTTTCCCACTTGGCCAGTTGCTTCTCCAAAATGTCCAAACCCACCTTGAGTTATTGATTGACTAACAGCACACAACAATCAGTTCGCAAATACTATAGAAAAAGAGAAGCAATAATCCATTCTGAACTGAGGGTAAATGCTAATGAGAGGAATAACCTATATTTGGTTCAGAAATCGAACTGATCCATCCTGAAGCTGAGGAGACTGTTGGGTTTGTGGAGGCTTGGGCTTGACTTGTAGGCCCGGCCCATGTTTAGTAACCCTAGGTTTTTTCTCCTATATATATTCGCCCTTGTACTTGTAATTCCGTGAGACACGACAAGTGAAATAGAATCCTCCTGTTGCAGCCGTGGATTAGGGAAACCGAACCACGTTAAATTCTTGTGTGTCGTCCGTGTTCCGTTCTCTCGTTTCTCGCAGATTATTTGTGTGTGTTGTGTGTTTAATTCCCAACAAGTGGTATCAGAGCGAGGTTATTCAACACGAGCGCAAATTGTGAGAAATTTGTCACCTAGGGTTTTTGGGGGGGGGGATCTGTGTGCGTGCAACTAAATAAGGAAGGGGCTGTCACTGTTGACCCTGTTCTTCTTCGGAGGGGGTGAGATCTCGCAGCAGGCAGGGATTACCGCCGCCGCCGCTCGCTGAGTTCACCGCAGATTTCCGCTGTCGAGAGAGGGTGAGCAAACCACCGCTGCCGTCGAAGTAGCTGCACGCAGAGGAGATCCGCCGTCGCCACGTTGAGGAGCCGCCGCGAAGCCGCGCCATTTCAGATCGCGCCGCCACCGTCAGATCAGATCGCCGCCGCTAGAAAACTAAACGCGGCAGGAGCGAGAGAGAAGTTTGTCGCACAGAGAGGCGCCGTCGCACCGAGATATGAGACTGGAGACGCCGTCGAGCTCCCAGATTGCCGCCGTCGTTTGCGCACAGTCAGTCGCACGCAGGAGCAGCGGTAGAAGGAGCCGCCGCCGTCGGGAACCGTCCGTCGAGATCGCTAGCTACGCGCCGCCATCGCCGTCTAGATTTTCCGCCGCCGCCGATCAATCTTCTCTAGCCCTGCTAGTCTGCGACACAACTCCACACAAGGCAGTTTCCGTTTCTTGCCAGGCCGAAGGAAAAAGGTTTTTTTTTTTGGGCTGGAGCGAAGAAAGAGAAAATTGGGCCGTGTGTGTGTTTTGTTTTGGTTTGGGCTAAATTAATTGAAGTGGTGGACTTGACTTTCTGACGGAAAAAATACCAAGATCTGAAATTAGTTGTATCGGGTATCTCGTCTTGTCTTTGAAGATGACAGAAGACGGGAAGTTCCGAATTGAGAAGTTCGATGGTACAGATTTCAGGTTGTGGAAGATGCAAATTGAAGATTTGCTGGTTCAGAAAGATTTGGACGTGGTTTTAGGTGACAAGCCAGAAAAGATGTCAGATGCAGATTGGGCAGGTTTGGATCGGAAAGCAATGTCCGTGATCCGTCTCTCGTTGACCAAGAATGTTGCGTTCAACATTCGGAAGGAGAAGACAGCGAAGGGAATTATGGAAGCGTTGTCTAACATGTACGAGAAGCCATCTGATGCGAACAAAGTGTTTCTGATCAGAGAGCTGGTGAACACAAGGATGAAAGAAGGCACTTCAGTTACCGAGCATATCAACAAGTTGAATTCGATCTTAGCCAGACTTTTGTCAGTGGGCATTAAGTTCGATGATGAAGTTCAAGCTTTACTACTGCTATCGTCTTTACCTGATAGTTGGTCCGGAACGGTTACAGCGGTTACCGGATCAGTGGGACCTGATGGATTCACCTTTGATCAGATTCGAGATCTCGTTCTTGGCGAGGACGTCAGAAGAAAGAGTTCTGGGGAGTCATCTGGTGAATTGTTACATGTTGGCAGAGGTAGAAGAAATAGCAGAGGTAGTGGGAGCGAGAACAGACGAAGGAGTCAGTCAAAGACTCGTGACAGCTCAGGTGTAACGTGCTGGAAGTGCAAGGAGGTGGTGAGCTTTGCATTGTTTCTTGGTGAGGTTTCCATTGACAATTGCTGAGCTTTGCATTGACAGTTGGTGAGCTGTACACTTTGACCGCCCATGACCAATGGCCACCATCGATGACCCCCACTATTTCCGTGGACCGGTGGTTGAGCGGTGGTTGAGTGGTGGTTGAGTGGTGGTGCTATTTTTTTAACATTTTTTATTTAAAAAAAGTGGTGAGCTTTGCATTGATAGTTGGTGAGCTTTGCATTGGCAGTTGGTGAGCTTTGCATTGGCAGTTGGTGAGCTTTCCATTGGCAGTGTTGTGTGTTGTGTCGTCTGATTGAAGCATGTCATCTTACCATAAGGTGTCATCTCATTCGGGTCGTTCGCCACAAGAAGAAGAAGAAGAAATAGGAGAGAAAATGGTTCATTCTCTCATTCAGCGGTGGCATGGCGTTTGGGCTGGGTGGAATAGGGATAATATTCCTTACCGTTGTCAACGCGTGTCGTCTGACCTCCGGCGTCAATCACAGCTGAGGTAACTGCAAGCACCGCTCCTACTGAGATCGCTGTCGAAATGCTCTTTCCTCTATAACCAAGCACAGAAGCACCAGCTACAAATCCACCAACAGCGCCATTAATGAAGGCCCTTTTCATACGATAGTTATGCATCAGCTGCTCCACACCAATATACACTCCGCCTATAGCAGCAAATGTCAAGCCATGATTGCCCATCATTTTCAGCGTTCGCACCAGACCAGGAAGCGCAACACTTCTTTCCACACGTGACACATCGTACCATGTTGCAACAATGGTGCCCCAAATAGTGCCCGCAACTAGACCAGTGGTTGCACCTTTCATAGTTTTCGTTACTGGGGTATCCTCATCCTCATAGTATCTCAGCTCGTCGCCTGCAGGGTCCATACCTTCTAAGGAGGATATGGAAGAGCAATGGAGTCTTCTCTGTGAAGTAGAAATGGAGAAGAAGCTGGAGCTGAATGCATATATATATATATATATATATATATATATATATATATATATAGATGAAAAATGGTTAGGTCTAGAGAGTGGGGGGAGCTAGGCGATTCTCGCCGCCGTCCCCAAGACCCCATCTCGGAATTCCGGCAACCAATACATTGCCACTACAGATATACAAACGCATTTAGAGATAGGGGGAAGAGAGGCGAGTCAATTCGCCGACCCTAAGCCCGATTTCTGGAGCTTTATAAACACCAATCCTACAGATTTCAAAGGAGGTATAGAGAAAGGGGGGATAGAGATGACTCTCGAGGTCATCCCCAAGAAGGTGTTTCTAAGCTCCGGGAACCATTGGAACGCCATTTCTGCAGAGATGAAAGAAGGTATGATAGGGATTCTTCTATGTGCAGTGATGGTAGAGGAAACCGTGGCCATCAAAGTTGTTTCAATCTAAGAGGTTCCAATCTCAGATGGAGTTCTCCTAAGGCTCTCAATCGGAGACCTTACAATTATTCTCCAGATGGACGGATATCAACCACCACAGATCAGAGGGTTTCTGAAGTTGGATACGGAGCTTTGCAATTCAGTCACCCCCCTTGGCAGACTAGAAACTTGCACGCTTATTTCCTGCTTGGTAATGTTACCTATAATCTTTTTCACTCTCATCACAATCAAACCTTCTGCCTGGCAGTAGAGGGCAAAAGCAATAGTATAATTTGGTTCAACTATGATCTATTCAGCT